GGGGTGGGTGCGGTACTATGTGTACGGTGGCCCGGTGGGTGGGGTACTATGTTGGCAACTTGGCAGGGTGTGGCATTTATGCGGGCACGCCGGCAGGGGCTCGGGGGTGGTACCGTGGGACTATGTGGGCGGGGTGGTGTGCTATGTGGGCTGAAGGTTTGTCAATGATACTCAATATTAGTTTTGTGACTTTGTCGAGCGTTTGTAAATTTTATTATTATTATTTTTTTTTATGCTTTGTCGGTTACCTTTTGTCTTTCATTAGCCGTTGTACAATTYGTACTCCACATGGTTTGGATTTTTATTTTATTAATTTTTTGTTTTGTAGATTTATCGAAATTATCGGTGACCTTTTCTCTTTCATTAGCCATTCTACTACAGTAACTCCACACACCTTGGAAATCGATCTACATTTTACAACCGGAAATATCCCCACTTCAACCATCCACGTCGATTTTTCCAGAGTCGTAAGTGAGAAGCATTTCAGTCTTTTTGAGGAGTTGGTTCAACTTGGTTGAGGCGGAAAATTACAATGGATGAAAAAAAAAGCGAGAAAACACACACACACCATGGTCCACGGGCAACCTGCCAACCGCCAGACAGTAGATTTTAAAGAATGCGAAAATTTCAAGATTCGAAATAAATTTCAGTCTTCGAAGACAAATCGAACTGCCAAGGGTGGGAAAAAAAAATAAAAATAAAAAAATATTGCACCATTTGGTCCATTTCCAATTTTGCATAGATATAAAAAAAAAAAAAAAAACATTGCACCATCTGAATAGATATACAGCCTCAGACAATACTCCCAAGACTCCCAAGAGTCCCAACAAGAGGCATCAACCAATCACAATAAGATACCTGCGAGGCTACGAGGCTACGAGGCCGCGAGGATGCGAGGCTGCGAGGGTAACGAAATAAAAGTACAACAAGCTGAAGCGAAGCAATTTTGTAACGGCCTCTGCCTGCCCGGCTATAGGCTCTCATGCTACGGGCCTAGGCCATATGACCTCCCGTCCTAGTGATAGTCCGGGCCTGCTTCTGGAACAACGCAGCCAACGCAAGTATCTGATAAATCTCTCTCTCTCTCAGACAATACTCCCAAGACTCTCAAGAGTTTGAACAAGTGGCAACTACCAATCACTCTCTCTCTCTCTCTCTCTCTCTCTCTCTCTCTCTCTCTCTCTCTCTCTCTCTCTCTCTCTCTCT